AAGCTTTCAAAATTGGTACACTCACGATTTTCAGTTTGTGACTACCGTCGTTTTCGCCCTGTAGTCTTCATTTGTGTTGTTAACGAAAAGTTGTATTCCTGACACTTTGGATAATTAGTTATGAAGATTGTTGTTGAATCGGAGTGTACTGTTCTGACATATCATCAAACGCGACGGATCAAAATGCAGAGTCACCAATGACGAGCAGTTCATTCATTAACTTTTCAAACAAAGTTAACCTAGCACACAGATCGGGGGTCCCCGTGGAGGGGGGGGGGAGGTTGCTTAGTTGATTTCTCGTAGATGACTGTCCCCGCAGAAACAAAAATTCTGAAATTATGCAAACTGAGCCCAAAAATGTGAAATTATGCGATTCTGTTAATTTTAACAAAGAAAGATGGAGGAAAAGAATCAGAAATTATACAAAAAATGATCAATTTTTTCTAAATTATACAGGGTGCATAAAACCCCAGGGACAGATGTGAGTATTTTACGCTCCCACCGAAACTATTTAGATACTTTAGGGGCTGACCTTAGACGTTGTCTGTCAGGACCAACCCAGGCAGGGAGGGATACAATGTCACAGCATACAGTCGGGAATACTTGATAAAAATTCTCTCCCCTCGGGAATCGAACTCATGTCTCCTGTGCGCTACGCCAAGCGGATTAAGCGATTTGGAATATTATCTCGCGGGCCAAAGAAGGAAAAACTAAATAAAATTAAGTTAGAATATCCAAACTCTCAGAAGTGAGGCTAAAACTGACAAGACGGCATATTTCAATTTACGGCATTTCGTGAGACAAAGTATTAAATGTATTGCATCCATCTTGGCAGAGAACTATAGATTTTAATCTTTAGAGACGGATAGTGTTGTTTTTTAACAATTACCAACTGAGCACGGATCACATTTATCATTAAGGGTCAACTCGCGGGTTGGACTGAAATAGCTCTCTGGCAGGATATAGCCCGCGAGCCGTAGTTTGCCCATGCCTGCCTTATGTAGAGAGCCTGGGACATCACGTCTGGTATTCGCTACATTAGAATTACAAAGTTCTATCTACTCAGGACCTAGTTCGGGGAAATTTGACGTTTAAAATTTTGAGTTGTACCACAACATGTTAAGCTTTTCCGAACGCAATTTTTTGAATATCCTGTTAACGACTTTCAATAATCTTACGACTTTGAAAGAGCAGCAGATAAAGAATGTATTTTCGTTTCTAACTTCATGATCTTAGTAACTCAAAACGGCCCAAAAATGTCAGATAGAACTTTTATATTCTGAGGTAGCGACGCATCAACTCACTTAGGGGCACACTCATTGCTGTGTCGACTCGTGAGCTGGACTGAAATAGCTCACAGACCGGATCTGGCTCGCGGGCCGTAGTTTGCCCATGCCAGCCTTATATAGACATCTTGAGACATCAAATCTGATGTTCGCTGTCTTAGAATTTCAAAATTTCCTTCTGCTCAGGATCTAGTTCTGAGAAATTTGAAGTTAAAATTTTTGAGTTTCACAATATATCTAGCTTTTTAAAATACAACTCGTTGAATATCTTGTTCACGACTCCGAATAATCTTACAATTTTGATAGAGCAGCAGATAGAACATTTGGTTTCTAACTTAATCTGGTCTTAGTAGATCTAACTTAAAACGACCAAAAAAGTTAGATAAAACTTTGTAATTCTGAGGTAGCGACGCATCAACTCACTCAGCGATACATTCATCACTGTGTCGACTCATGAGATAGATTAAATTGCTCTAGGACCGGATCTGGCCCACGGGCCGTAGATCTAGTTTGCTTTTATGCCTGCCTTATTCAGACAGCTCGCAGCTCGCGACCGTGAAGAATGGAGGGTCAGTATACGTCAATCTCTGAGTCAGAGACGAAACCTCCAGGTATCCGGGTATTCA